TTTTTTTATTTTTAATTATTTTCGATAAGTATTCGATACACTAGGACATGTTAAGAAGAGTATTATTGGTGAGTCTGATTTTATCACTAATCGGTATAATATGGATTCAAAGACCTGGTGGCTATTTCATAGTTTACATGCATCTTTGCTCCAAAGTATTGCGTTGAAACGTCTTGTACAACTTTCTTCTTCATCTTGTGTTAAAAAAATAAAAATAAAATTGGAGTATATACTCTTTTGTGCACTCTTTGAGAATGAATTAACTTATTCCACAAGGAGCTGAAGAATTGGTTTTCATTCACAACAATCTGCATTTTTTATTAAGAAAATTATATATTTCTATTCAAAAGGAGAATTTAGAATGTGAGACATTCTCGGATACTCATTTGATATTCTTAAACTCGTTGGATTGCTAATCTAACGATAGATAAGCCAGAGTTAAAGAGTGTGATTTTTAATCATAATGAAAAACTAATGTTGAATAAAATGAAGTTGGAAAAATTAAGGGATTAAGATAATTTGTTTTAGTATTTTATTTTATTTTATTTTTATTATTATGTTTCTGTTTTAATTTTTTTATATTAATGAAATTATTTTTGAATTTTATAACAAGTATCCATGTATCCTATTTTTTAAAAAATAAAGTCGTATCGCACTAACCCGTATCGTATTCGAATTATGTATCCGTATCTGTGCTTCTTAACGGCACCAACAATATTATGTGCCACTCAGATTTTAGAGATTTGATTAGTTTCGTGGAAGCCTATTTTTCGAGTGACATGTGAATGTTACAGTTAAGTCCTTTTCTGCTCCTTATGATTGTAATATGACTGCACAATAGCACTACTGTACTGGTTTTTTCTGTTTTCTCATGATGTTTTGCTTGTTATTAGATTTATGTATTAAAATATATTTTCCTAGAAAAAAAGCAAAACGAAGAAAACGAAAGGAAAAAAGGAACTTCAAGGTCAGACATTTGGTGCCAGTATTTACTGATATCACCTTATGTATATTTTTGATCCATTTTACGCAAATGACAAACGCATGAAAAGATTATGATCGTGAAGTGGACTTATAATTTATAGTTTTACGCAAATGACAAACGCAAGATAATTTCTTTATACGAGAAAGTAAATCAGAGAGTCATTATAACCTCGTAGGAAATACTCTTTTCTGTTACATGATTGATATGATAGTGGTACAAAACATAATAAATGATTCTGTTAATTTAACTTAATCAAGAAAATACACATTCTCTAAAATTATCTCCCTCTCTCTTTCTGCCACACCCGTGTGCAAAATTATGCAGGCTTTTCTGATTTCTAAAGATTTTGGAGCTATGGTAGCTTCTATTTTTGTCGTTCTCTACCAGGAAAGGGTGTCAGGGTTCGTGACGTTAGGTTTGCCATTCTATCTTCCTCATTTTCTCACTTCGCACCTCCCTGAAGGCTTCTATGTGTCAAGATGGAAGGTCCATTGTTGCTTTTTTTGTTTTCTCATTTTAGATAACCTGATTTGGCTACTTCTAACTTCATGTAGCGTTTTTTTCACAGGAGCCTGGGCGTGCTGAATCTGATTTTGGTCGTTTTGATGCCAAAACTGTAGTGAGGAATGTTTATATCCTGTTCTCCAGAAGTGAAATACCAATCGCTCTTGAAGACCAGGAGATCATGGATCTTGTGGACTCATCCACTCCTTTACCCTCTTGGTTCACTGAGGAAGATCTTGCAACCTATGGAATGTTATATGAGAAATCGGGATTCCAAACTGCGTTGAAGGTTCCTTATAGGTAGGCATGGTAATTTTACTCTTAAATTAGGTAGCCAGTTTGTCTTGTTGCAGCAGGTCTTGTGTTGGACTCTGTGGAATCTAATCATACTATACATCTATGAACTCGAGCACAAATCTCCCTAATAGTCCTACATATGTAAAAGATTACTTATATAGCGATATTCTACAGTGGCTAGTGGAAGTAGTCTTCACATTGAGAGTGAACCACTATTTTTGTGTGTGCTATTTGCTAATTTTCTGATTAATTTTACGTTTGCTCCTGTAGTTAAGGCCGTAACATCTCATTGATGCACTACTATGTTAATATAACGATTTCGTTCTCTTTTAGGTCATTTCATGAAGATATTAATAAACCAGATCCAAAGGTTGAAGTTCCGGCTCTGCTGATCATGGGCGAGAAAGATTATGCCTTGAATTTTACAGAAATGGCGGATTACGTAAGGAGTGGAAAAGTGAAAACATTTGTGCCAAACTTGGAGATAAATTTCATTCCGGAAGGAACTCATTTCATTCAAGAGCAACTGCCTGCCCAGGTGAATGATCTTATTCTCAACTTCCTCAGAAGCCACAGTTAGTCATATATCCCCCAATGCTCTTAAAATCACTCTGTATAATAAAACCAAGTGACTTGTACAACATTTGAATCTTCATCTGTCTTGTAAACTATGTAAGTTTATGATTTCTACTTTTTTCTTTTACGTAACAAGTCTAGACTAGACTAGACTTATGTTATAGCATCACTTGTGCTAAATAGCGTTATTCTATTATTCAAGCTTGTACCAAGGATTTTCTGAGTGATAGGTGTTGGGTTTTTTGAAACCCAATAAATTCTGGGTGATGATGTTAAACTGTTTTATGGATTATATTTCATAAGCCTCGGCCGATGAGTGAAGTGAAATATCGACATCATAATCGTTCAAACCAATCCTACAATCTATTTGGGCCATTTGAAATAACCTAATTTAATTAGTGTTACTCATGGCTCGACCCTTAAATCTTGGATGGCTTCTTAAGTTGATAGCCAACTAACCCGCTACCTATTAACTATTGGGCCTAATTAATTCCTAGGGAAAATTACATTAGACCAGGTCTTTTGTTTCACGTTTTAAAAAATCAGATTTTCACTTTCCAGGTTTTTATCATTTTAATCTATCCAAACCCTAAATCTATCCATTTCTCTCCACTCTCTCACCTCTCTCCACAACGCCGCCTCCTTCATTTCTCTCCATCCTCCCACACCGCCTCCCTTCCCCTATTTAATTTCGCTGTTGCAATAAATTGCGGAGTCTGCAGAGACAGTGGCGACGACGGCGGTGGCGGTGTAAAAGTCATCTGAGAAGATTGAACGGGTGATGTCTTGACTGGTGCCGGATACTAAATTATCTGGGTATGGTGCATAGGGGACCCTGATTTAAGATCTGGCTCCTGTAAAGGTTTAGGCGTCGGGTCTGATACAGGTTTCATGTGTGTGGACAAGGATTTCATGTTCGATTCTAAATGGCAGCATCAACAGTTCCAAAATCGTTTTTCTGAACGAACGCCCACAGCCAAGGCCTGGTAAAGGCATCACCAATACTTGCCGAGTCTGTGAGCATAGCCTCCTCGATTCCTTCAATATCTGCTCCCTTGGCTGCAAGGTATCATTTATCTATTCACCTCTTTTCTTTTTCGTGAAAAAGATTCATTTTCCGGCCCTTATGAATCTATGATGTGATTGATGAAATGATCAGATTGCAGGACATCGAATAAGTTTGAAAAGAGGAAGCAAATGTGGGAGTGGGATGAATCTATAGTCGACGACGCTACAAAAAGGCATAATAAACTGATGAAGAATAGAATCCAACAGGAGGAATTATTATAGAATACTAATAATGGGTGGTGGGTGTTGGTGGTGTTATTGTTGGTGGGTGGTTGTGGCGGCGGGGTGGCGGTGGCGGGCAGATGGGATGAAGAGTGTATGTGACCAACTATTTGGTCGATCTGTGACCAAGCATTTGTGATATACTGAGATTGGAGAATGGGTGTTTGGATGTACGTGACCAACTATGTGGTTCGTGACCTTATAATTTGTTAATCTATGACTCAAAAATATAATCTGTGACCAACAAATTTGGAAATATGTGATCTCTGTGACCTATAATTTTTATAACTTGTGACAAATTAAAAATCCGTGACCTATAATTTTTTTGATCAGTGACCAATGAAAAAACTGTGACCTATAAAATTTTAGATCTGTGATCTTAAAAAAATACGTCACTTACAAAAAAATTTATCTGGGACCTCGAAATATAATCCGTGACCTATAAATTTTTTCATCTGTGGCTTCGAAATAATCCGAGACCAATTAATTTGATAAGCTGTGACCTGAAATTAATTTTTAACTAATTAATAAGATATACGCTATCAAATTACACAATTAAATATTTAATTAATTAATAAAAAGTAGAAATCTGATTTTTACAATTTTAAAGTTTAGCACCTGATTTTTTCAAATGTCAAACTAAATACCTGAGCCATAAACTTTTCCCTAATTCCTAACCTAAACGCCCACTTCTATTCATACTAGTTTTAGCCCGTGCAATGCACGGGTTGTGGTATTTTGAAGGTGATATTAGCGTTTTATACAAAAGTCAAATCCTTCGCAAACATAAATCGAAAGCGGTTTTCCTTACATAAATATCATAAATACTTCTTGTTCATTGTACATCGATTAAATTGCATAATGAAGTTGTCGAAAAGGACATGATAATTAAGAGTGTGTTTGTGACACATTCTTTTGAAAAAATGTATTATTGAATAGTAGATTGATGGAGAATGTGTGATTAAAAATGAAGGAAAAGTTATTGATGTGATGGAAAATATTATTTTATTGAAGAATGTGTGGTTGAAAATGAGTAGAAGAATGAGAATGAAAAAAATAATGTGTACCAAACATGGTCTAAAACTTAAATTTGAAGGCACATTGGATAGGGCACCATCTCAGAAAACCTAACCCACACCATCTTCATAGATATCCAAGGATAATGGAACCGGTTACTGCAACAGAATTGCAACAAATAATCACCTATCTGCGGAAAGACACGAGTCAAATCCAATTCGAGAAACATTAAGAGTGAAAGTTGCATGTCTCAGCCGAAATTTATTGCCCCAGTAGCAAGTCAACCAAACTTTTAAAGAGAGCAAGGCAGCCTCTAAGCCATCATTATAGTTGCACAAATAATTTCCAAAGACAGAAACAGTCCAAATCTCTATTAATTGTCAAGTGGCACATACCAAATTTATGAGGATGGGAGGGGGGCATTATGCTTCCCAACATGGGCTGGAATCAGAAATTTGAAGTGAAGCTTTTTTCCATGAGAGTAGCATAATAATTTAACAAATAATTGGGAAATTCTCTCCCATGAAGATAGATTATGTAACTTTAATGAAAGTTGATTAGAATAGATTATGCAACCTTAAGGAAAGTTTATTAGAAGCATAGCCTAAAATTCCTGGAAGTCATGGAATAACTTGTTCATTTTCAACTTGATCATTTATAAAGGTTGGGGAAAAACTTGCTGCTATGGGAATAGGTTGGGGGGCCAATATTGCAATAATTTCACAATGAATAGTTTTCCTCACTGCAGAGGAAATCAGGATTTACCTGAAAGCTAAGCTTACTCAATGCTTTGCTTTCACTATCAAGTCGCCTTTCATTGGGGTAAGAAAAAGTTCTTCACACCTTCAAATTGAAGGACAATCACACACTAATGGACCTATTGGGTACATTGCTTAAATTTAGTAAACTTTGGTGCAACAATGCATGGTTAGTGCAGATATTCCGAGATCACAATATTAAAAACACTACACATCTCATGTATTAATAGTTTCATTCCCACAAAATAATCGAAAAGGCATATTCATATTCGGACCAGTAAATGCATGAAATATGTAGAGAAGCATGAAATAAGCCAACAAGAACGATATCAAAATGAATATTTCTTGCAATAAATAAAAATGCTTAACAGTGTTTTTACCATCCACATCATCAGAATAGAAATAAATGCTCATTTTGTTATAGGTTTAAGGTATGCATAAACTTTGTATTTTCTCTAGTGAAGTTGGTGATGAGGAAGTTTTTTCTCAAACATGAATTCAGCAATTGATGGTTTAGTGAACTGTGTGACTGTATAAATAAGAGATTATTATAAAAGTAATGTTAAAAGAAATTTTAATGGGCAAAATGTATAAAGACCAAGGTAACTAACCAAAGTAGTTAACATTTTCAACACCCTTCTTAATGATGATCAAAGCTGGACATTTGGGATCAATATGGAAGAGCTTTACCACATCAGGACTTGTCATCTAGTACAAGCTAACATTATCTTCCAACTTTGAAGCATCCACAAGTTCATCGTTGTCTGAACCCTGTAATATTTTGGGGAAATTAGTAAATACAACATCAAATTCTCTAAAATACTACAACAATTTGAACAACAATAGAAGTCATACCACCAAGCTCTCTAAATAACTCAAAACTATTTTTTCTCCTACAGCCAAGATGTGTTTGACCTCCTCTGTCGTCACAGGATGTTATACAAAGCAGGACCAATCTCTTCTTCACCAAAGTAATTATAGTATCTCTACAACATAAATAGTAAAGATGAGCAATTTAATCTAATGCAAATATCTTTAGCCAAACTAATTTTAAAAAATTTCACCCAGTTACCCTATCAACAATATGTTGAATAAGTAAAGAATACCTGCAGTTTGGTGGAGGAATAATTTGTTGGACGTGCTTGCAAAAGTTTTTATACTACAGATCAATCTACATTTCTTGAATGAGAATCAGAGGCTTTGTTTCCAAATGAATTGTTATGATTTGGGCAAAAAGAGGTCCTTCCCAATTCCCAACAGCTATGATAAGAACAATAAATGAACATTCTATCAAAAAAATTATAGAATTATTCTTTGGCAAAAGATTTTCCTGGTGCACGGCGGACACAGTGTGGATACCAGTTCCACATTGTGCGGACACCACTCTCCGGGGAGTTTTTTTTCCCCTTCCCATACAGTAGTTGATCCATTGCAGAAACGTCTTCACTAATACTTTGGAAATTTCTTCTCTCCTTCAAAAGATTCTTGGCCACAATCTGCTCGTTTTTTAGCCTCTTTGATTGATTCAAAATCTGCAACATGAGCTACTCCAACAATTCTCCTGCAAAACCAAATACACAAGTAATAATGCAGGAAACAACAAAACATCATACATTTAAAGCACAGTCAAGACAAGCAAATTATACTTGGAATACACTGAGTAATCTAATTCCAGTGCATTTGAGTTCCATCGTATTAGTTTTCATCCCATGGAATATTTTCCATTGCTATAGTCACAAGTAAAGAGCTTTCTATTAAAATTGGCAAACAGTGTGTTGTGTTTAAAAGTTGAATGATGTTTGTGCATTTATAAATAAAGCAATTGCACAGTTTCCCTTTATTTATTGCCGATGATCCACTGGAGAGAGAGAGAGAGAAGATCAACTAACACACATGTCAACTTTTAAAGGAGCATTTCAGAAAGTACCATTTATGAGCGTTGTTATTGTCACATGTCAAAATATCAACTTATGTAAAAAATACATTTTCATTGTAATGCTGCAGTAAAAACATGGTTTTATCAACTATAGGATAAAGTTCTTTTCATGCATTTGTATTGACATGCATTAGATTCTCCAACTGATAATTAGGAGAAACCAATAAAGTGCAAGCCAAAACAGCCTGTGAGAAATTACCAAGCATCTGAGTCCTATTAAAGGAATACCATAAGAGTTAAGAAGCATGCCTGCATTCTTGATAAAATAATAACCAGCTAAGCACACCTTCCCCCAACAAAATGATCTATTGAATGAAAATCATGCACCTAAATTGTGAAGCAGTTGTAACAAGGTAGCAATGCTAAACCAAAAAGTACAAATTGTGCCTCCAAAACATGAGTTAACTATTTAATTTCTTATAAAATTAGGTTGTTAAACATCCAAGGATTATGTATGTCATCGCTATGCAATTATAATAATTAAAATTTCATTTGCCTCATACTGTGGGCACAATTTTCTCCTTATCTTGTATGAATAATGCCTATATTTAACTGTGAATCAACTCCCTGTCATCAACCATGAGGTCAAATCAAAAATTTTCTAAGCAGATTTTTGATCTTTTGCATGTTTCAATTATGTCATACAAAAGAGAATACGGATTTAGCGCTTATAATACAATCATAAACTTTGACATCCACAATATGGTATCATATAAAATTGCCAATTCTGGTTTTCCAGGTAAAATTATATTGGAGATTTTGCTATATACGAAACTCGTCTAATGAATTATAATTGTCTGCAATCCTCGAATACCTCCTGTCTAGCTTCTTTTGGGATGGAGCCCCATAATTTTGAGGAGGAACATAGTACTGATTAGGTGCTGGATGAGGATGTTACACAGGATAATTATGAGTGTATTGTGAATTTATTGATTGAGGATGTTCTTGTTGCCACGAATTCGAAGAACTGGATGAGAATGATGAAGATTGCATCCAAGTTCCATCTACCCCCATCCGTATGATTTGAACTCTTATTTCCCATCAATTCAATTCAATCCAATATACCTAAAAATTCTCAACCCGAGAATCCTAGAAACTTTACCCCCGAATATCTAACAAAAGTCAGGAAATCCAAATAGCACTTCAGAATCAATTACCCCAAAAATCCAATACACTGCCTAGGGTAAAAAAGCCAGGAATAAAACAAATCCTCAAAACAATTTCACAAGAATCGAATGATAAATCTAAACTCTTGCAGAACAATATTCTCTTAGATCAAGTCAAACACA